CCGCCGCCGCGAGCCCCCCGTACGGCGGGGGCGCTGGAAGGTTCCAGAGCCGGCCTACCCAGTGGGGGAGGGGAGAGGAACGCGGGTCCTCGAGCCCGTCCGTCCGCGGCGGGTACATCACACTGTTCTCAGAAACTCCACTCAGTTGTCCCGGCCACCCCCAGAGACCAGCTGTCCCCAATTTGGGAGTCCCGGCCAAAGCCGGTGCGGCCGCATTTCCACCACACTCACCCGTGGACGCCATTTTCTCTCCTTCCTTCTCGTTCTCTCAACGTCCGTCTCCCTCTCGCTTTCCCTCTAGGCGCCGGACTGCGCAGGCGCGAAACCCGCAACCTTGGGCGCTACCATGGGGCCAGGCCACGGGGGTGGAGGAAAGAGGGATGAACCAAAGTTTTCGCGTCCTCCTGCCCTCTACTCTCTTCCTAATCCTCTCTAAACAGAGCCGGATTTGACGCGCGGGTCTAAATAGCACGAAAGGGGCCGAAGCGGCCGGTGAGCGGATCTTGTTGTGAAGGCGGAGTGATTCTTCGCACGAGGTTAAATTGTTGGATGGTTACGTCCGCTGGCTCTAGGGACTGTCTCTGAAGAGTCTGCCTTGAAGGGAAACGGAGGCCGCCGGGAGGACTGGGGGAAGGGACCTGGGCCTAGAACAACTGCTGACTAATCGGCGGGCGGCGGGCGGCGGGGGAGGGGGTGGCGCGCTGGCTGCTCGGTCGGGGTCACGCGCCCGACCGCGAGCAGAATGGGTTTGGGGCACTCGGGCCTTGGTGGAAAGCTAGAGGACCGACACCCAGCTGGGGATCCCGCCCGGCCTTCCGCGGGCCGGGGCGCGCTCCGCAGTGAGTACCCGGGACACGTGGCCCGAGCCCGCGGGGGCGGGGGCCGAGGCAGGATGGGAGGCCCCGAGGGCCCCCCAGTAACGGTCGAGGTTGAAAAGGCCCTTTAATCATTCTTCATCCAATACTCTTGTTTTTACAGAAGGGGAAACTGAGGCCCAAGGAATTTGGGTACTTTTCCTAAAGTCACAAAGCTGAGTCCGACCCACACTCTGGGACCCCCCACTCTCCATCACCCGGAAGAATCTTCCCCGCCCTTGCCTTCCCATTGTGTCCTTCGGCTTCCCGGTAAGGTAGGCAGGGTCTGATGGTGCACAGCTCAATTTTATAGATGAAGAAACTGAACCCAGGAGGGTTCAAATCCCAGTTCTGTTTGTCCATGGGCGAGTTCACCCTTACTAAGCTACCTTGAGGGGCCTTAGTTGTGAGGGTGCAGGAGGACGCCTGCAGTGGGTGCCTTGTCTCTGGGCAAGAGTGGCACTTGTCTCCCTTCCTGGACTCAACCCAGTCTCACTCAAATCCCTCAGCGGGACGTGGTGCCAAGCTAGTGTCTTTCAGTGAACACGTACAAAGCACCAGCTAGGTGTGGGGAGCACCCTGAGGAACTCGGGGATGAGTCAGAGGAGCAAACCAACTCTCTCCCCACCTCCACACACACATACACCCCAGCTCAGACCACCTGCCGGGGAGAAAGGCTAAGCTGTGTTCACTAGATAGGATAAGACTCATGATGTAGGGGCCCAGAGATGGAGCTTGGGACATTTGAACTGGGCTTCAAAGGGTACAAAGGAGTTTGCCTGTTGAAGAGATGGAGGAAAGGACACTGCAGACAGAGGAGCTTTACATTTTTCCTGCAGGAAACTGGCAGGTAGGTTTTGATGCCGAGGATGCTCTTGGCAAGGGAGCAGATGAAGCAGCCTTGTTCTCTGGGATTTTGCTTCCTGCCCTATGAAAGCGGTTCAGTGGGACTCCTGAGACAGACAGGCCTGACCAGGGGTGAGAGGGTTCCAGCAGGGCCTGGAGAGGCTGGTGTGAAGGGAGAGCACAGGGGAGAAAAAGCCTTGTCATGTGGGCAAGGAATGGGCACAATTGACGGCCAGAGCTTGAACCACTGAGGCTGAAGCAGCTGCCTCCATGTGAAGGCCTCCCTTTGTTGGGCCAGCTGGTGGTTACATCTGCCTCCCACAATTAGCCGTGGGCTGGGCCCTACCTTAGCCCATTCCTTTTTCTCACCTACACGGAAAGGCTTTTATGAATCCCCATTTTAGAGAAGAGGAAGGAGAGGCTTAGAGGACAGAAAGCTTGTCCAGGGATACATAACAGGAAATGGATACTGGAACTTTCCTGTGAAAAGGGGAGGGGCTGTCTCAGTCCAGTGTCACTTTGTATGCTCTTAGGGTGTGGGACTCCTGCTGCCCTCCTCAAGCTCTTCTGCCCCACTCCCTCTCTAACCTGCCTGCCTATTGGCTGGTCTCTCCCCCTTGGTCAAGGGCATCTGAGGCCATCCAGAGCTCTAAGGCTGGGCACAGTGGAGGAGGGTAGGGAGGAAGATGGCTGGTCTGCAGCCCGAGGAAAGCTGGCGATGGCCCTGTACTTGCCCTGGGGGGGCTGTACCCCTCTTTGGGAGTCCAGGACCCCAATTAACTTCCCTGGCCCTGTGCCTTCCACCCCCAGCTTCTCTTCAGGGCCCATGAGTGCTCTTTTGGCCTGGCCCCTCCCTATCCTCACACATAGGCAGGTGTACTCGCAAGATGGCTAAGCACATGGTTAGGGTCTAAGCTCTTCTGGCTAAGTTGCTAAGACTGCCTCTCCAGCCTCAGTTCCTACTTCTGTAAAATGGAGCTGTTGATAGGGTAGTTGATAGGAAGTCGGATTAAAGCTGCAATAATAACTGTTGTTACTGTTTTCCTTTACCCCTAGCACGCAGCCCCAGGACCACCCTTGACCACCTTCAGCCAAGCTATGCGTGGCAGAGGCCCCCCTGCCCTACTCTCCCCGGCGCTGCCTCTTGCTTCCTCAGTCCTGATGCTGCTAATGAGCAGCCTGTGGCTGGTGGGGGCCGGCCCCAGCCTCACCCTGGCCCCGGAGCTGCTGCTGGACCCCTGGCAGGGTGAGGGCTGGCCACATGGGCCTTGGAGGAAGCAAGAGACTTGCTTTAGGGCCTGAGACCGTTTGGCAGGAGCTGTGTGCCTCCCGCAGTGGTCAGGCAGGGATAGAACCCAGTACCCCTGGGAAGGTCAGCCTTGGATGGGAGCATTCCTAGCTCGTCCACACAAGGAGTACAGAGGAGCCAGCAGAGGGGTGGGAGCCTGTGAATAGGAATTCGTTTCAGACAGCTTCCCTTTCTGATGGCTTTCCCTTGGAATGAAAACTAAGGCTTTCAGTTAAGCATGAGAATGTGTGTGTGTGTGTGGGGGGTGCTGAGGATTCAGGAGTGACCCCAGCTGAATGCCTGTTTCCCCAATAATAATAGCAGCTTCCATTTACATTTGAGGAACCCAAATGATGCTCACAGAGGTTAAGTGACTCATCCATAGTTGGTTGCTCTTGAGAAGACTGAGTGGTAGGTCCACCTTGTTCTGCTTAATACAGCCTGGGAGCAGCCACAGTATTTGGAAGCCCTTGGTTTCCTCCACGAGTGATTGCTGGCAGTGGGCAGACTTTGGCTCCTGGGGAGGGGGGGGCTGGCTTAGCGGATGGCCCTGGCAGACCTGGCACACCTGGGACAGCCTTTGGGGTTGGGGCCACTTAGCTGGCACATAAGCCCCTTCTCTCTCCCAGCACATCGGCTGCTGACCCATGCTCTAGGCCACACGGCTCTACCCAGCCTGCTCCTGAGTCTGCTACTCCTGCCTGCACTGGGCTGGCAGCAGGAGTGCCACCTGGGCACGCTGCAGTTCCTGCATGCCTCCACACTGCTCGCCCTGGCCGCCGGGCTAATGGCTGTGCTGCTGGCAGGCCTCGGGGTGTCCGGTGCAGCCGGTGGCTGTGGATACATGCCTGTCCACCTGGCCATGCTGGCAGGGCCGGGTTACCGCCCACGACGGCCCCATGGGGCACTGCCACCATGGCTGTTGCCATGGCTGCTGCTCGCCCTAACACCCCTACTCAGCTCCGAGCCACCCTTCCTGCAACTCTTCTGTGGCCTCCTTGCTGGCCTGGCCTGTATCCTTTGGCTGGGCTCTGGGCCTGTGTGGACATGTGGCTTCTGAGGCTGGGCCCCCAGGGTGCCTGGAAAGGAAGTGGCATAAGGAGGTCAGACCCAACGATGCCAGGAAGCTGCACACACACGTTCCAGGAGCATCTCCATGTCCTCCTCTAGCCAGGCTCTTGGCTGGGGGCTTGTGGCCAGGTGGAGGTGCCAGTAACAATTTAAAGGGGAGCCTGGAGGGCTGAGGTGGCCCAAAAAGGCACCTAACCTGGACCTCCCCAGTAGAGGTGGCATCTAAGCTGATACGTGCAGGATGAGGGGTTAAAATGAAGAGAAGTGAAAATGAGGGCAGGCAGAGGGCACAGAAAGTACAAAGGCCAGGGGTTAGAATGAGCTGGGGCTCTCTGGGCACCAAAAGGGGGAACCACCTGTGGCTGATGGTGCACATGCATTAAACACAAGGTTTTGCTCCAGATGCTTAATGCCTGTTGGGGAAAACTGCGATCTGAGAGAACAGTGGGCACAGGCAGACCCTCTGTAGTTATTTAGGATTGGGGACACCAGCTGCTGAGGCCTAGCTGAATCCTGGTGTGGGGAGCATGTTGCCCTGGCTGAGGGCAATGGGGGATGTGTCACTGGGCCCAAAGGTACGGCTTGAGTCACAGACCTAAGCAGGTAGATAGGGCTCTGGAAACAGTGGGTAGGGGGTGGCTGAAACTGGATGATACAGGTTTTTGGGGTGAGGCATATTGGTACCTCCTTTTCACTGGCTTGCGTGGCTTTAGGCAGGTCCCTTTTCCTCTCCGAATTTCCATAGCTGACGGGGGTGACGACATGCCCCTTGCAGGGCCATAGTGAGGAGATGAGGGAATGCCAATCACACACTTGGCACAGGGCCTGGCATGCAGTGTGGGCTCACCCCTTGCTGGTTTTGGTTTTCCTTGACCAACCGCCCTGCCCTGGGCAGAAAGACGCAGCTGGGGCTTTCCACTGGCTGGAGCTCTCTGAGCGGCGGCTGCAGGCCCTGCAGGAGGGCGTCGTGTGCAAGGCCCTGGCAGGGTGCTGGCCACTCAGGCTCCTTCCCACCCCAGGCAGCGTGGCTGAGCTGCCTGTCACTCATCCTGGAGTGAGGTGAGGGTGATGCTGAGGACACCAGACCTGGCGGTAGAAGCTGTGGCAGTGGCTGGCAGTCAGGCCTGCTTCTGCTTCTGCCCCTCCAGACCGCCCACCCCTGGACCTCCGTACATGGCCTTTCCTAGTCTCTGGTCCCACAGTGAAGACTCAGCCCTGATCCCGCCACGCCTGGGGCCTGTGCAGCCAACCTGGGAGGGCTCCTCAGAGATGGGCCTGGCCTCGACCGAGCCCAGCTTTCCCCCAGGGACCCCACTGTGGGCAGCCCTGGATGAACAGATGCTACAGGAGGGGATCCAGGCCTCGCTCCTTGAGGGGCCAGCCCAGGGTCCCATGAGCCCACTATGGCTGCCTAAGTCCTCTGTCTCCTCTCTACGGTAAGGCAGGGAGGGTCGGGGTGGGGCATCCCGGTGTGGGGGCTGGAGGTGGCCCTGACACTCTCCCTGTCCCCTCCATCCCACAGGCTGCAGCAGCTGGAGCGCATGGGCTTCCCCACGGAGCAGGCAGTGGTGGCACTGGCAGCCACAGGCCATGTGGAAGGCGCCGTGTCCCTGCTGGTCGGCGGGGAGGTGGGCACTGAGGCCCTGATGACTCCAGGGAGGGGTGGGCCTGCACATCCTGAGGGTCCTGGGCCCCCCTAGCACAGGCAGGCCCTCAGGTGACAAGAGGCCTGGCCTATGGGTGGTTAGTGTGAGTCCCAGCCCTGTGTGCTGTCCCAGGGGATGCAGGAGAGGCCCTTCCAGCGTCCTGCCCGGTACTGTTTAGAATAAAAACCAGTTTACTTTTCAGCTGGACTCCTTGGGGGGCAATTGTGTCTGACTCTTCTGTGTTGGCATCAGGGAGATGAATGAATGAACAATGAACGAACAGCCGATTGCAGGAGAGCAGCTCCTTGATGTCTGCTCCCTGCAGCCTCTTCCTCCAGGAAGCTGTGTCCTCCACTTTGGGCCTTTCCTGGGCCAGAGCCACTGCCAGCGAGCATTCTTTGCTTGTTTCCCAGCTAATTTCTACTCATTCTCAGGTCTTGGCCTACGTGGAGACCAGACCGTCCTCTAGAAAGCCTTCCCTGATTCCCCAGGAATCCTGTCCCTTCACTGCCCACAGCCACTAGGGTCCCAGCTGGTCAGGGGCCAATTCAGTCAGTCTCCCGGGTCTGGCTCAGAGCAGGCTTGGTCAAGGCTGGTGGCTGTGTACTGCTGGGCCCTGTGGGCAGGAAGCAACCGGTGGGGGAGAAGCTTCCTCAGCTTTGAAGCAGCAGCTCCTCCCTCCTGGCCCCCCTCAGTTCTTGCTCCTTCCCAGGAAGTGGAGGTATACACAGCCAAGAGGGCAGAGGGTGTGGGGGTGAGTTGTAGATGGGCTGGGTGAAGGGGTAAGGCAGAGGCACCTGGGAAACGACTTTGAGGGATGGGGTGTGTGTGTGTGTTTGGAGGGGGGGGTGCACATATCCTGGAGCAGCCTCCATGCTGGTCATCTGGAGACTGGCCCTGCTGTTGGTTACCAGCTGGGGGCCAGAAATAGACTGGGAAACCCGAGGTCCACACCTGCAGTCTCCTTTCCTTGGGTGAGGAAACAGGCTCGGGAAGCTGTGTCACCCAATCTAGAAGCTGCCCTGAGGTCTGGCAGCTCCTTCCTTCCCTGGTCTCTCAGAAGCTACAGCCATTGCTGGACCACCTGGCCAGGGGGTGGGGGTGACCTGAGCCTCTGCTCTGCCCACTTACCCCCATGTCCCAGCTGCCTAGGTGATGGCCAGGGGAGCTCAGCCCTGCACAGGCCAGCTCAGACTTGCTTTGCAAGTGGGCAGTGAAGGCCACTGAGAAGAGGCCCTGGCCCTGCCCCATTGCCCCCCCATCTAAGTACACACTGAGACCAGGCCGGGTGGGGAATCAGACTGGGGGCCTTTATTGGCCAGTAGACACCTACCTCCTAGTGTCTGTCACAAGCTTTGTGGGAGCAGGTGGCCCATCCCTCTCCATGCCCCCACCCCCCACCTGGGACATGGGAGGGGCCGGGGGCTCCCAACATCCTGTAGGATCAGGCAGCTTGATCACAGGGTTGGGAACTCAGCACCAGAAAACAAGGAGATGATGGGCACGGGTGGGCTGAGGTTTGGTGGGGAGGAAGGGAGGTGAGACTGTCCTCCCTCATCATCCCTGCAAGTGCTGAGGGCTGGGCAGCTGATGGGAAGACAGAAACCTTGAACCTGCCAACTCCTCCCTGCAGGCCTGCATCACCCCATTTCATAAAGGGAAACAGGCCTACGGCCCTAAGCAAGGCCTTACCTCCTGCCAGGGCCACCTCTCCTTCTCAGGCCCTAGTCCCTGCTCAGCCTCATAGGAGGCAGATGTGCACTGGGTGCCAGGACCTAGACCTGCCTACCCTAAAGGTCTAGGTAGCAGAAGGGACCCTGAGGACATTAATAAATATGGATGGGCGGTCCCTGGAGGCAGCTGGCAGAGTCCAGGCTGGGAACCGAAGCCTGGCCTTGCCCACCCCGAGGGGCCGCCACCGCCCTCAGCCTCTCTCGTTGCGGCTCCTGGGGGCCACGATCCGGTAGTTGGTTGCGTGTCCTCCCCTCTTGCCCCGCAGGAGGCCGGGGGTGCCCATGCCGGCAGGGCCTGCCCCTGACCCCTCTGGTTCTGCCGGAGGGAAGGAGAGAACCTGGGTTAGAGAGGTCTATGTGAAACACCCACCTCTTCTTGGCCCTCTGGGGGTGTGGGGGGACTGGGCACTCTGCCAGGTTCACTTTGCCCTGGCATCAGGGAGGCAGAGCTGTGGGAAAGAAGGGGGTCTGCAAGCTGGTTAGTGTTCCCCCACCCCAAGGATGGTTATTAGCCCCCAACCCAATGAGAGCACTCAGGACATCTATTTGATTTTCTGTCAAGTGGGGATAAATGAGCCCACCATGTTCCCGAAATGCTTAGTGTGTAGTGAATGCTCCATACACGTATAGTTCTTTTGTTCTTTTTTACATTTTGGGGTGGAGGTGTGCCCTGAATCATCCCCATTTCACAGCTGGGTCAACTAAGACCAGGAAACAGACTCTTCCTTTCTCGGATTAGGCCTCCTGTCTGTCGTGGGGAAGGGTTTAGGAAGGCCAGGTTCTACCACTGACCTACTCTGTGGCTTTGGGCAAATTAGACATCTGTCAGGGCCTCAGCTGTTTCATCTCTAAAACCAGGGGGATGGTTCCAGATATACTCTGAGGTTCCAGCCAACTCCTATCATTATTGAAGGCAGTTCCAATTTGGCTACAGTGAGCTATGCCCCAGCCTGGAAATGAGCTGGCCCCCAAGAGTGGAAATGGACATTCTTGCCACCTGAAAAACTCCTTTCTTCAAAACCCAGAGCAGGACCTACCTCCTCCAGGAAGCTTTCCGTGACTATCGCTTCATTCCCTCTCAAAGTGAAATGAGCTCGTCAGGCAGATTAGAAGGATGGGCTGTTTTCTCCAGGGGGTGAGCAACACCCAGGGAATAGAGTCCCAGGATGGGGGACTTGGCTGAGCCTCCAAAGCCCTGTTTACGGGGGCAGACTCTTGGCCTTGGGTGAGCACCAGCCTCTCACTGAGGGCACTGCTAAGAGTGCCTATACCCTCATAACTGTCCAGTGCTCTGACCCTGTGTGCCCCAGCCTCCCGTGCACCTCTGGGCTGAGATTGGGGCCCTTGGGGCAAATAAGCATGTATGGTTACAGTCACGGGACACTTCATGCCCTAAATCAGGGAGCATAGGAGGAGGGTAGCACAACTCAGGTTCCAACACCAGCCAGGGCCAAGTCCTGGCCCTACCATGTCCCATGTGGCCTTGGGCAAGTCACAGACCTTTGAGCCTCATCTGGAATGTGGATATAACACTTCTGTTGTCACATAATGTAAGTGTCTAACATGACAAAGAGTGGAAAGTGGTTTTCACAGTACGTGCTGGATTATTATGGTCCCTAGGTTGGTATGCTTTCGACCCAGGTCTCCTGCAGGTCTGGTCACTGAGTTGGTCATGAGGTGCTGTTCTGACATGATCCAATTCAGCGCCTTGGTTTCCCCTGGGCCCCACCCAGTGCCAAGTGGAGCAGAGGTGTCAGCAAACCGTTAATGGAGCCAAAAGAGCCAGTGCTTTAGAGGACAGACCTTGGGTAGACCCCTGGCCTTACCACTGCTGTCCCTATCACCCTGAGGGAGTCACATGAGCCCTCTGAACTTCTGTTTCTTCATCTGTGAAATGGGCATGGTATCACCCACCTAGCCAGTTTATTGTAAGGACTGAAGATGATCATTGTAAATCCCCCAGCCTGAGTGGGCCGGTATGTGACAGCTGTTACTATTATCATCATTATTGATAATAACCTAACCGTGAGCCCCATCTGGGTCTTTGGTTAGCATCTGCTGTGTATGATGGCCAATGGCGAAGGTTCCTTCTCTTTCTCTGTTCCCCTCCTCCTACACCACCCCTTCTAGGCCCACAACCAGAGCTGGTTCGTGGGACCCATTTCCCAGGCTCATGGCCAGAGAGTGGGCGTGGGCCTTTCCAGGTGACTGATAGTTCCTCCCTGGGCCGCTGGACACAGCTGGCTGAGGGAGGGCAGGGAATAGATTCAAGACTACAGTGTGTCCCTTCATGGCTCTTGCCCCGATCTTCCTGAGAGAGGAGGTGGGGGACACCTGAGAAGGTGCTGAAAGCCTGGGATTAGGTCCTTGGTCCTTCTCTGTGAGAAGAAAGGAGGTCTGGGAGATGGTCAGTGATGTTTCTGGACGTTAGAGAAGCCATGTGCTAGTAAGAGGAGCTTTGGAAGCAGACATACACACCTGCCGACTTCCAGGCCGTTGCCCATGTAGCACTCTGTGAGGGCTGCCTCTCCTACCTTCTCCATAGGGATCTTCCATGACCCAACACAAGTGTCCTGTCTTCCAGAAAGCCTTCTCCCCCCTGCCCCAACCCCCCGAATGAGAAGTGACTGCTTCTCACTCCCATCCTTTGGTGCTCCTGTACCCCATGGCCTTCATCTCCATAGATACTAAGGATCCCCTACCACTTGATAGGCAGCTCCCCAAGGCAGGTACCCTTGGGCTCTGCCTCAGTGCCTGACCAGACTTGGCCTTCAGTAGATGCATCCTACAGTTTTGCTGAATGAAGGAGGCTTGCCTCTGCCCTTGGTCCTCCCTCCTTCCTGCTTAGGGGCCTCAGTTCCCCGAGATGTGAGGTTGGAAATGACGTCCAAGACCTGTGTGTACTCGTGCACTATGACTGGCTTGTGAGATGGGGTGGCTGGGGATGGGAGAAGAGTAGCTGTTGGAGCCTCTTAGCAGGCAGGTGAGGAATGGGGCTCAGCCCTGAGGGCAGCCAATCCCTGCCTGTCTCCAGGGCTAGCCACAAGCTCCTATAATGGGGAGGGACCTCTTAGCCCCACCTTGATGAGCCAGGCACAGGGAGGGGCACTGCCCTCTTGGTGTCTAACCTCCTTGCATGCCTCCCTGACCTGCTTTTGAGGATCTTCTCAAATTGAGCCCTGCCAGATCCTCTAGCCTCAGCATTCACCCCTCAGCAATCTCACAGAACAATCCCTCTAGGCTCTCTCTGGCTTCCTGGCTTTTGCCCATGCTGTTCCTCTGCCTGTTCACTCCTCCTGATCCTTGCCTTTAGGTCTCCACTTAGCCGACACCTCCTCCAGGAAGCCCTCTCTGAGATGCTCTCCCCTACCCCTAGCCTGGATCAGGGACACTTTTGTGTTTTCATGGATGCCTGTACTCACTCTACCATGGTATTCTTCACCTTGGGTTTAACAGTCAGTTCTGGGG